AAGGTCGACACATCCATAACTATCCACCTATGTTTACAAACTTTTTCAGGACATTCAGATCATGCAACAGACAAAAATGGTAAACTCCAAATGCAATAAAACCTCAAAGCACAATTATAATATTAGCTTATCATGGATAAGATGTCAAATAAACAATAAGAACAAGCTGATGCACATCATATTGTCGTATAAAGGAACATGAATTTGATTAACTCTTTGAACTTTTGAACATTACTAATTTAGACATACATACTTTCATATGGGCCTTTAGGGTGTCTTTGTTACATTATATTGCACAACATTAAAACTTTACAGAAATACTATGCGTACTACTGGTTTTTACTAACCAGTCTACAACATTATGTGGCATCTGACATGGCCATGGCAACTCATCTGCCACACTTACCACGTCAGATAGTTAAAAAAAAATTCCCAAAAAAAATTTCCCACCTACGAATTTTTTGTCCAGAAAAACATTTGTGCCTAATCTACTTCTCTCTTAAATCGCCAGCCACCATTTCGGCACCTAAAATAAACTCTGGCACCACCTTTCACTTCACCGGCCTCCCCTGGCCAAAACCCCTATCATCCCACCGAAGATCACCCACCAATCGCCAGTCACCGCTCATCTAGGGTTCGCACTCTTCAAACCAATTTTCGATCGATTTCGGCATCGAAAATCTACCCCGACGCCACCTTTCGCCTCACCGGCCTCCCTTGACAAAAACCCCTTCAGAAATACGCTGCGTTATATTCTTTGGCTGTTTCCATGTATGAAATTTTAGACCTGAGAACATTTCTGAAACTCAGTTGTAATAAAAATAATATTAGATCTTAAATGTTGTTATTGAGCATTTAATTTGGTTTGGTATGTTCTATGAATTTCCGATTTTTTCTCTTTTATTGAATTCAGGAAAAAAAAAACGAATTGTATACATTACACTTGAAAAGGCAAAAATGTGGAGAACACTTTTTATACATTCTCTCTGGTATTCTCTTATAATAAGGTTTTTTTTTTTTTTTCCTATTTTTCTGAGGATTAGATTGTTATCAATTTATAAAGATCGGTTATTGGAGCTGCATTATTGTTTTTGGTTCCAGGAATAGAAATTGAAGTTTTAAGAGGAAGGTGATGGAGGATCGACATTCGGTTAATAGTCCAAGAAGAATTTTAAGTTTTTCAAAGAGAAGGAGAGCAACTGTGTCATTTTTAGATCATGATGACAAGGCTTATTCTGGGTTTGGTCCTAAAACTTCTGAAGTTTATGGCTTTGTTGGATCCGTTACAATCACAAACACCAGGAGGCTTATTCTGAAACAATCACAACCAATCCTCCATGTGACAAGGCTTATTCCGGTTTGAACTTGTTTTCTAGGTTTGTGATTGTTTCATTTATTGGATAGTTGAATGCTTGTACACATGGAGGATTGGTTGAGAAGGGTCGTTCTTATTTTGAATTGATGACTAGGAATTATGGGATTGAGCCTCGGATTGAGCATTATGGATGCTTAATAGATCTTCTCTGTCAAGCAGGAAATTTTGAAGAAGCCTTGGAAGTTGTCAATGAAATGAAGATTGAACCTGATGAGGTTGTCTGGGGTTTACTGCTTAATGGATATAAAATACATGGTCATATGGATTTGGCAGAATTTGTGGTGAACAAGCTAACTGAAATTGATCCAAGCAATGGTATTTATGGTATAATGTTGGCAAATATATATGGTGATTTTGTAATGCTATTTATTTTCATACAGGTCTTGCCGATGAGAATGAATCTGTGCGTGATGCAGCATTGGGTGCTGGACATATCCTTGTGGAGCACTATGCAAAAACGTACACACACTTCGTTTAAAATGACTATTTATTTGCTTAGTATTGATTCATGTTTGGCATTCTTCTTGGTGTGTCTCTGAATTTATTTTTACTACTGAAAATATATTGAATTTATTTGATTAGTGCAAAAGAGTTGACTTAATTTGAATGGCTTCACATGGCTTAATTTCTATACATTTTCTAATACACGAAGACTGAAAATGGAGTCATTCTTTATATTACAAGATTAAAATACCAGCCAGTTAAAATCTGGAGCATGGTCAATTGATTTGCTGTTGCAGGTACGTATATATGTAATAGAGGTTATTTCTTTATTCGTGGCTTGACAGATTTCCTAATAACATTTTGGGTAGTAGATTGATGAATGCTTATGCTCTGCTGATACTTTGCAGATTACAAATTGCTGATACATGTTTTAACTTCAAAATTGAGTGTCTGGTGAATCAATGGTACAAAGTAAGGTGGCTCAGCTTAAGGAAGGATATTGAGTCAGTTGAAAGATGAAAAATGAAAAATGGTGCAGTAAGGTGGTTTGGCTTACGGAAGGAATGGATGGTGGGAATGGCAACTTGATTGGCGTATTTGTTTTGGAGTTTGTTTAATGGGAGATTGATTATATTGGGAGTGTTTGCGTTGTTTGATTGGTTGTAATGTTTTCCGGCCTTCCCCATGCATCCAGCCAATCAGTCACCTTATCCACCTAAATATGCTCACCACCTGCTCAACCATTTGCCAAAACCCAAACCAAGGAATAAGCAAGCAAGTGCCTGCGCGCGCAAGCAGCTCCCAGCGCATGTGCGTCTCCTCCCAACGCCCCAAACCACCTTTCTTGGCCTTGCCCAACCTACATTTCACCAACCTAACATCGCCGGCAACCCTACAACCACCTGTAGCCATTGCCCACCACACACTGCCCCCTTTCTCTGTCCACTGCAGTCACTTCCTAGCCATCACCCCCCACCACAGCTGCCTCCCACTGTACCCAAGCCACCTTGCCCTCTTCGTGCCCCAACCACCTTTCCTGGCCTTGCCCAACCCAGATTTCACCAACCTAACACTGCTAGCACCCCTGGAACCACCTGTAGCCATTGCCCACCACACACTACCCCCTTTTTCTGTCCACTGTAGTCACTTCCCAGCCATCACCCACCACCACACACTGCCCCCCTTTACTGCAGTCTCTGTAACTACCCTCAACCATCAAGAAAATCACAAAAATTGATTGTTCAGAATCAAGAAGTCAGCTCATTGGACTCAACTTGTTTAAAGAGAACCATATTTTTGCAACTCACTGATGTAATTTATTGCTTCTAATTTAGGTTTTCAAATGCTTCAAGGTTTAGATGTTCTTTCCCCAATGTTATGTTGTGGGGTCATGTTTTGTTTTGGTGAAAATATTGTACAAGAAATGGCTAATATCAGCAATTGTATTAATAAAGTGTTTTTTTGCTTATAGTAAATCTTGCATCTTTTAAATTGATGCCTTGCATATACAAAATATTATACAAAAACAAAATATATTGTTCATGATACAAGGGTAAGAAACTATGCACAATATATGATACAAGAACAAAATATTATCCAAGAACAGCATGATATCTTTAGCTTGGATTATAAACGAACAAAAATAAATTATATAATACAACTTTATGATATAGCATCTTCAAACTATCTATTCTTTTCACCATGGTCTTCACCTATTATTCTTCATTCATAAGTTTGAATCTGCTGGATACGGCCTATAAGCGACTGACCTTTTACTGCAATTTTGGAAAATGTAAAAAAAAAAATGACTTAAGAAACTAATTGTACACCAAAAAGAAAAGGGCAGAATTAATGAATCATACCTGACTTAATATATGAACTCCTTCTTCACATCCTTGGAAGTTAATCGCATCTTGAAAATGTTCATTTGCTTGCTTGGTTTCTTAGGAATCCCCATCATATAATCGATTCAGGGATGTCGCAACACACACTTTTTCATGAAATTTCTTTTGTTTACCTTTACGTACATTTTGTTCGAGCTTCGATTGCTTCTTTTGAATGGAGGTCGACCTTTGCAATGAACAGCCCGAGGAGTTAAAATTTTATTGCTTGCCTCTGTGGAATTAGCATGAACACTATCAAAATTTGATCCACTGTGACATGACATGTCACCATGTCTATCAATCCTGCCAGCAAGTTCATTTGACAATAATTTCTTCTTCATGTCAGTAATCATATGCATCACCATATTACTATCATCAATATTGGTTGAGGCTAAATCAGCCACCTCAGAAAATGAATTAGACAACTGATCAAACCGTTCTCCTTCAGCAGTCGTGCTCCAGCTATTATAACTAACTCTAATCTTCGTGTGATATCTATATACATTTTTCCTCCACCTTTTTAAAATGAACTTTTCAGGTATATGATAAATCTCTTTATGAAGCAACACCGCTATTGCATGTCGATAAATAATCCTTCTAAACTCAAACAATCAATAGTTGCAACGAACATCACAACCACGGTCATCATAGCAAACCACAAAAAGCACACTACGACATGTCTCCCCAACCACGACAACTTTCTTTACAATATATTCTATTTCAGATTCAGTGGCCCGGAAAGAAGATATCTCACAATGCAACTTAGCAGTAAGCTCTTGCTGAAACTCTTTGAATTTTGTGGTTGTGTATGCCTCCTGAAATTGTTTCTCCATTGGATAACCGGTTATGCAAGGATTCCATGATTTCCATGATCTAAAATCAGCCCCCTTTTCTTTTTCTACTTTATCACACAGTGCATTCTCATACTGTTCTACAAACTGTTTCAAAGTGGTTTTAGAATTCACATACCCATCAAAGAATGCATGCATACTTTCACTCCGTTGAGTGGTAGACATACATGCCCAAAAGGTGTCTTTTACAAACGTTGGCACCCAACGTTGTCTTTCATTATACAGTCTAAGTAACCACTCATTGTTTTGAAGGTTGTATTTATCAATGAATCCAGTCCAACGTTGTTCAAACTCCTCACGTGTCAATGAATCATACACAACATTTTGCAAAGCAAACTTAATACGTTCGTATTCGCTGTAACCCCTTAACTTTTCCGGCAATTTCTTCATTATATGCCACAAAAACCATCTATGCCGTGTACCAAGAAACACAATCTCGATTGCATTTTACATCGCCTTGTCTTGATCAGTGATCATTGCATTTAGAGCACAATTCCACATACATGCAAGCCAAGATTCAAAAAGCCAAACAAAAGTCTCCGTGTCCTCATGGGAGATTAACCCACAACCTAAGAGTGTTGAATGCCCATGATGGTCAACACCAACAAACACCGCAAATGGCATATCATACTTGTTGGTCAAGTATGTAGTGTCAAATGTGACAACGTCGCCAAATTCCTTAAATGCAGCCCTACTTCTTGCATCCACCCATATAACATTCTGTAATCGACCCTCCTCATCTAAATCCATCATGTAAAAGAAATTTGCATTATCTTTTTGCATCTTCAAAAAATATTTTTGGATTGCATAAGCGTCCCCGGCACCAAGTCGCATCCTCCTAACTTTTTCAATATAGTTCCTACAATCTTTTTGCAAGAAAGTCAAATTCTCAGGACCGCCTGCTTCAACTGACATGGAATTGAAATTTTTATTCGGCCTAATCCTGGCCCTATCATTTACTACAAGTCTCCTTTTCACGTATGGTTGTATACCACGATTGTTCTTGAAATATCTAGTTTTTGTTGGGCTACTGAGCTCATGGTTATGATTCAACCCCACTGAACATATTTTCCATTTTCCATTACCACGTACAACTGCACCAACCTGAGCCTTACAATCCGTCTTTGTCACTGGGTACAATTTAAAAGCATTTCGGGTGTCACTACTCGATTTCCCAGTACAAGAACAAGCTAGTGTTGCGTTTGTCACCTCTCCATCATCTCCTTTCCTTGAGGATCTTATAATAACTTCAAACCCATTCTATTCCCATAACTTCTGTAGTATTGGAGAAGATTATCAAGTGAATCAAAAACCATCCTAGGCTTCGGCTCCCATTCCTCCTCTGTACTTCCTCTATCTTCAACTTCTTCAAATTGATTATCCTGATTCATTTATATTATAATACTTAGATTAGAATATTATAAGATAACAAACATGATAGAAACAAAACCATCAATTTTTTTTTTTTTAAACTACATTAACTTGTGCGTATACAAAAATTTATCATTTATCATACAAACATGGGTACTCATTGGTACATAACAATAACTTCGTTTCATTACAATGCTTACCCTTTTAGTATTATAAACTGAAGCCTTTAACTATTCATTTATCTCCTCCATTGTTTGCTCATGCATGTTATCAGCCTCTGTTTCTGCCTCCTCTGCAAAACACTTAACAACTTAAATTCATTTTGAATGCAATGAACTAAACTAAACTTGTGTATTAATAATTAAGAAAAAACAATTAATAATTACAGTTAAATCAGGAAGATAATCTATTACATTTATGCAGAAAGTTCTATTCAACACTCATGTTTTAGTACACGGGTACTCTCTATGATTCCCATTTATCCACATGTAGCAACTATATGTAAAGACACAACAATCCAAACCATATAAGCTAGCACATCAAATCAAAGTAGTAACAACTAACCTCCTAGTTGTAAGAACTAAATGTTTTCTAAGATACCAAGGAACATCTCTCTCGGATATATAACAAGAAACTAATTTTTAACAAGAAGGTAGAAAATAGGAAGAAATATCCTTATGAGGGGCAAAAAGACAAGTGCCTTTACAGCAGGATATTTGCTACGAGTTAGCTAAATCTAAAGAAACGAAAATGACATAACAAAGATGTTTCTTGTGTGCAGTTGAAAATTGGGGAAAGACAGTCTAGATGGTTACTTTAGCCATTATGATTATATGATTATGATAACTAATATAAAAGATTTCTAAGTGTCTTGTTGAAAACTACATTATTAGTCCTCAAGAAAAAGGTTCTAGGCGTTACTAAAACCAGTCACAAAGTCATCCGATTTTCATCTTTTCTTCCCCAAATTGTGCAGTTCCCTTTCACCGTTTTACATTTGCACAAAATTTCCTCAATTTATTGGATTTACAAAGCTCCTTTTTACTATAATATTGTTTATCATAAAATTTATACACACTTATACATGGTTCTCAACTCAGAAGCACCAAGCAAGTGTTGTGTTCCACTTCTCCCACCAGCAACAAGTAAGTAAGAGAGACCATTGAGTGAGTAAGCTCTTACCACTCAAAAGGAACTCTCACTGGTTAGCAATAGAGACAAATGCGACAGCAACAATGGATGTCACAGCCGGCAGTTCAAATGCTCAAATTCAGATGAGTTGTAACGCCCCACTTGAGGTACGTAGCTAAGTTATGCTGTATTGCTTGAATGTTTATTGTTTTGCTTTTATTTGGGTTGATATATTGTTAATATTGGTTGGCCCTTAGTTGAATTTTTGTTAAAGTTATTTTGAGAAAAATGTAGAGAAAATACCTTAAACTTTCATTAGGGGTAAAATGGTATTTTCACTCAAAATTAGTTGAAATTATGGGGAGTGAAAAGAGATAGAATTTCATAGAGAATGCATTAAAAATGAGGGCATTATTGTAAATTGACTAAGGGACATAGATGAAATTTCTAAGAAAAAGCAAGGGCAAAATGGGAAAGTGTGGTTATAAATTAAAGTGTTAAGGGTTTGAAACCCTTCATTCTTCTTCTCCACCACCACACTCCTCCCCCAATTTCTCTCAAATTGTCATTCAATCCTCCAAGGATTTTGAGGGCTTTTAAGTGGTTTTTCATAAGGTTTTGATTCTAGGCATTAAAAGGTAAGGATTCAAGCTCTTTATCTATGATTTATTTATGTAAAGGTTGAGTTCTTTTGAAGTTTATGCTTAGGGTTAAGAGAAGATTGGAATCCAACAAGAATAGAGAGCTTAGGAGAGACTACTCAAGCACAAGGTAAGTAAATTCCACTCAAAATCCAACTCAAGCTAAAATTTAAGAATTCAAGTGAGTAGAGATTTCTTTTAAATATGCACATGTTGTGATTATTGAGAAATTGAGATGAGATTGATGATGAATTATGCTTGTTGTTGGGTATATTTGAATATGAGAAGTATATGTGATGATTTGATGATGGGTTGAAATTGGAAAATTGGAGAAATTTTTGTGGAGTGTGTTTGCCATGTAGGTATGTGATGCTACAAGAGAGTTTTTCTCTTATTTTGGATGGTTTGAGAACTAAATAGAATGATAATTGAATTAGGGTTTGTTTATGCACAATTAATGTTTGATGATATGCCTAAGTGAAAACTGCCCTGTCACAGCTGTGACTTTATGAGTGACTTTTGGGCATCTTACAGATTGAACTGGGTTGAGACCAAAACATAAAAGTTTTAGCCCTATCTCTAAGCTTTAAAACAAGACCAAAACTGTAGCAATCTGAGATGTATAACTCAAGTTATGTCTTCTTGAGTGTGACCTGCACAGAATGACTATTTTGATGCAATATTGCATTTGTGCATTTCATAAGTGCATTAAGTAAGAAACTTTAAGCATGAACCATCCTTATGCATTAATTGTGCATTGAGAAGTAGTTTGAGAAAGAGTAGAGAACTTTGTGAATGGGCTACTCTAAAAGTAAAGAGAATGAGAAAAATCTAAGAACGGGTTGGTGCTTTGTGAACTCCACCCGAAGTTATGGAAGAATGGGTTGGTGATTAGTGAACTCCACCCGGAAGTCACGAAGAGTGGGTTGGTGCTTTGTGAACCCACCCGACCGTGCCTCCGGTAAGATGAGGCCGTGACATTCCAGTGAGAAAGAATGAGAAAATATGAGAAAGAATAGAGGAAGAGAAGGATATAATTCATGAAGAGTGGGTGGGTGCTGTGAGCGCCACTCAGCTGTGCCTCCGGTAAGATGAGGCTGTGACATACAATAGAAAGTTGATAGAAAAGAGCTATGTGAAAGAGAATTAGAAAGAGAAAATAAATGATATGAGAAGAGTGTAAGGAAAGAATTAAGAGAAAGAGTTACGGGGATAGATGAGTAGATGATTTACTTACTGAGCATTATTTTGTGCTCACCCCGTTGTTTTTCTTTGTGTTTGCAAGATCTAGGTGAGGACGCGATCGAATGGGCGTCGGCAAGCGAGGAGTAATAGCTACACTGTCCACTATTTTTGATAACTTTTACTAATGATTTCTTACTTTGTATAAAGAATGATTAAATGTATTAAAAGAAAATTTTGGGCCCGTTTAATTTTGCTAATATAAATATATTTACTTGAAGTATTTCTATGAGTATCCTAATATGAAGCAGTTATTACATGGGTGATTTGGGTTTTGACTATGATTTAATTTGGGAGAAGATTTAGGTTATTAAGATTGGGATTTGAGAGACAAGATTTAGGTTATCAAGATTGGGATTTGGGAGAGAAGATTTTAAGTTTTTAAGATTGAGATTATGAAGGCAAAAATTCATTATGTAACCCAGCATAAAAAATTTTCAATTTTTTTTTTTTAACTATCTGATGTGGCAAGTGACTGACGTGGCAGATGAATTGGCATTACCACGTCAAACGCCACATCATGTTGTAGGTTGGTTAGTAAAAATTAGGAGTACGCATAGTATTTCTAAAAACTTTAACATTTCATGGCCCAACGCTTGGCCAAGTTACAGACTCATTGTGAACTTAATCAACTGACAATACAGTCCCAAATGCGCTAATGTGAATGGGAAGCGGGAGTTGGGACATACTGTATTAGCAAAATTAGAACTCCTATACTATATTAGCAGTCATTAAAGAACCAATGAGTATGAGATGAATGAATTATCTGTCAAAAATACAATCCTAAAATAGGAAATATTCTGACCTTATTTATGCCCAATTAGTCTTCAAATCGAAATCCATCCAAGTTCAATTCAACTTCCAAACCTTTGTTGACGTGATTACTATAAATAGGTTAGCAAGTACGCCTTAAAACCACTCTCAAAAGCTATACAAGTTTCCAATTATCTAACTTAAAAGATAATACATTTGTTTGATTGTTGCAGGTTGAGCCAAAACAATATTTCTGTAAATGTTATTATGAAGTATTGTACCTCAGTATTCCATAAAGTGTTCTAAATCTCTAATTATGCTAAAAGGAAATCTTAAATGAGCATGTCCCATTCAGACGGCTACAACTTTTGATCCAGGAAGAGTTACGGGGCCTTTAAGATACTGTTGGAAACCGTTAGTGTATATTAGTGTATGCCCTAGAAACCATTCGTGTTGTCGGTTTCAGAGCATTTTGTCTTGTATCTATATATATCATAAATAATAGAAGAAAAAGTTCTTCAATTCATATATGTAAATTGCTTCCTTTATTCAGTCATGCATTTAAAATAAAGTGTGTATATGAATTGTCCAGATGATTCATTTAATCGGTAAATGAACTATCCAAAAGGGTTCCCTATGGAAGCAATATAATTTGGGCAACTATATTGCACAGTAGGCATATCGGATGCTTTCGAAAGATATCATGAGTTGATATAAGTACGGATTATGATGATAGTCATGTCACTGGGGCATTGGTATGGATTAACGGTTGGTGAACTGTTTTTCGAACGTGACCGAATAACAACAAATCACTTGGAAAAGCATGTAGTGAATGATTTATCGTTTAGTTATATCAGTGCACGATGTAGTCCTTTGACCTGAGACATTGTAGTCGGATCCGATATGGATGCGTATGGTTCATATGGTGTATAAGTACGAGACTAATCATGTTTCGTACAATAAAGCCTATTTGGTCATGCGTTGTTCATATGCGGAAACGAACGATGGTCAAGAGGGGATCCATTGACTCGAAAATTATAGGATGGGAGTACCGCTGACTCCATCCGGATTCGAGTTCCTAGACGAACATCGATAAATGTTGGAAAACAGAACTCTGGCCAGAGTCTATTATTAGTCATACAAAAGCAAGTTTGTGATGCGAGTTCTAGACATATTGATCGATGATTCGGTAGAAGATCGAGTTTAGGATTTTGACGTTCCATGAATCCGTGCTCGATTAGGATATCTCAATG